CTTTTTATTAATGGTCCATATGTCTATATGTGTTACTAAGACTTACTCTGAGCTAAACCTTCTAATTAAGAAAACACTGTGCGACGCCAATGATAATTATCATTCGTTGTGAGCATGCGAGAACTTGGAATAAAACACGTTGGACCTGATAGAGTAAAAAGACGTATTATGAGGATATCAACGATTGGATATCAACGATTATGAAGGCATCAACGTATGTGCGATACCTTGCAGAAACGATTACTAGATTCCGAATTCATTGAGTTATATGACGCAAATGCATTCGTTAGTTATTACCATCTTCATACTTTCAATTTTATGTATTTAAGATCCTAACGCAACCCTTCCGTATTCTAATCGCTTTCCTATCACATCATTCAACCCCGCTTCCGACGGGCATCGGAGGCGCTTCAATACAATGAATTCATTCACCATAGAATATGTATATTTTAATTGTCATGATGCATTCATGAAACAATGTTCCAACAGTTAATACATATACTTCTGTTTTTACTGAGTAAACCTGCGGGATTGGAAGCAACTTGTTTCAACTTCGAACTAGGTTGCTTTCGGGGCGATGGGCGAACTTTAGGTGCAATCGTCACTGATAATTTATTATAAAATTTTTGAAGCAGCCTCATTATTAGTAATGTTATTCTAGTCATTTATTGGCGGTATGATTTAATATTGTCATTGGCCGGAAACATGCTTGTTTGATTTCTTGTTTCGCCACTTCTTCAAATTTTTCAAAAATTTACCACAATTGAATAATTTACTGTAACATGAAAATATTTTTAATTCAGGTTACGGAAGTGGCCATGCATACGCATCATTATTCTGCTTACAAATTAATATTTTCTCATCGTCTGATTTGCGCTCACTGAATCACCACCGTAGTGGAGCTAGGTAACTACGTATATTCTAGATTACGACTCAATTTTTGCACAGTCCGAGTTTTTGTTGGGCTCAGCTTTCCCCAGTACGGAGTCGGCTGGACGAGGTTCTCGTCATGAGGTTTCACTTGTGACTCAACAACAATCCCATGAATTGCTGTCAAGATACCAAACTTGATCAAGTTTGCTGCAGACTGTGCGTGGTCGCCATTTTCATAGATTATGGCAAATCTTATCATGTTTAACTTTTGTTTAGCGGCGCAATCGAACCAATACTGTTATTTAAAAAAATTTTCTTGTGTTTTCTGTGGTGTATGAATATAAAAAAATGGTTAAAACATATGATCGTTTAAAAAAAAAGAAATGACCGTTTAACTAGTTAAATTTAAGAGCCTTGCTGCCAAATCTTACATGCTCGACAGATTCAAACTTTCCGCCTCTGATAATATGCTACAGCAACACGACTGATTAATTATTGGTCACTGTCAGTATAGATCAAGTAATATAATCTATATTTTGGACCTGCAACTGAGTATGTATCAAGCTTACAATCGCAGATGCAATCACACGAAGCAGACGTCAACATTGTTGTCTAAACTTATGAAGAAATATTTGAAATGAATGATACACTTGATATTTCCGGAATAATATTTCATACATTTGTGACTCACACTGGCAACCGACATTACATTAGCTAAATAAATATTATGAACAATAACTTTATTTGTTCATTTACACTTGATGTTATCTTTTTGAACAACAAACTCGGGTTTTTATTTAATATTGAAATTTGCAGCTTATTTTTACAATTTAATCAGACGAGTACATGGCGAGGAACGAAAACAAGATTCAAATTAAATTTCTGAAATTTTTTATTCTATTCTTCTTTATTAACCACTCAACTCTGGGATAAAAGCAGCAAACGATATTAGCAAAATTTTTATTTCGGAAGAATTATTTAACCGTATCAATTCAGTGTGATTGAATCACTTCCGATTAATCAGATTGAATCACTTCCTGATTCAATTCGTTTTTTAATTGAGAGATGCCATTCGTCGACAGTTGACTGAAAGTGCAAATTTATATTGTGGAAGCACTTAATGAAGTTTCCATTGTCAAGACAAAAATTTCATGAATATCCCTCTTTATCATTATTTGGACCTTAAGTTTGAACTGGTGCTCGTTTTCGCTGTAGGAGCCACAGCAAAGAATATTCTAGCAGGATGCGCAAGTGAGCAGAAGGGAATATGCGCAACGCATTACGAGCCCAAGCACACAAGAAATTCCTCCAGTTTGCTGCGGCTAAATTATATCAAACGGTGTAAATTCAGGTACACAAGCTGTTCATACATCTGGCTTGCGTTAGTTATTTCGCATTGGACGTCTTGTAGGAACACGTCCAGACGGGCGGAAGATGTGGAAGACGTCTTCTTTAGGGACATCTTCCTTATTACGCTGTGGAATCATACTGCCTTCCAATTAATTAATCTGTTGCTCTCAATATACCAAGTAATTAATATGTTTCTCTCTCAATTAATTCCAGTTAAATTAATTAATTTGTTGCTCTCAACACTTTTTTAACCAACTTTCATCAATTGAAGTGGACGTTTGGGACCTCTAAATATTTTAAACCGCATTTCTGTGTCACGTACTAAATTAAATTTCATTTCGCAGGGATCCAGGAGTTCTTTATTTTATGTATTTCTGTATACCAAAGTTTCCGGAAAAGAACCACACGATTATAAGACCTCTTGTAATCGTGCATCAAATATTTATTCACTGTTCATAGTTAAATCGCTTTCAGTTTCATAAATAGGTATTAAAAAATAATAACTTCTGTGATCTAACTTATCAAAGAAACATACTAAAGTTAGTTTCTTTTTAAGGGAATTGCTGAGACTAGCAAAATGTAATAACAAAAATTACTGAAGATAGAACTGTTCCAAAGGTTTGTTAACTTTAAGACAATTGACATTGCATAATCCTTAGTATCCTTAGTATCCTTATCCTTAGTATTTGTTTGGGACATAGCAGTCCCAGGCCACGATGGATCGCCGCCTCTGATTATCGTTCATCCGCCCTCATTTGGGCCACCTGTCGGTGTAGGCCACCATCAGAGGCGTTAAGGTCGGGGCCCTGATCATTGACATGAAACCATTCCCTGTTTTTAATTAATAAAATCAATTCTTTTTTTTTGTTGGAATGGTGAGTGTGGGAGGCCTTTTATAAAAAAAAAACATAAGATATTGTCAATTAACTTCATCTCTGCTGCGATATTAAAAACTGATGCCGCCAACTTAACTAAATTCACTTTACTCCACACAAAAGACACAAAAAGTTATCTGCAAGCAGTTATTGCGTCATTATGATGAAAAAATTGTGGTCTTTAATAAAATGTTGGAGCGTATAATACGCGAACTAAAATTACGATAAAGCTCAATAATCAATAACTAATTAAGTACGTTGCATTTTAGAGCCAATGAATGGCCATTGGTGGGTTTTACATAAGCTCATACCTTTGGACAAGGAAAATTGGAACTTTGAAAAAGAGAAAAATTATTTTAATGTGTTATACCAATTGCAAGTGAAGGTTTGTTGTATGCCTGAAACAGGAATGTGCCATGAAAATACTTGCATTATAGCTCGCACGTTAATAATAATCTATACTCCATAGGAACAATAACAACAACATACACGCGGACGTAAATTCGAGATAAAAACAACATATATAGAAAGATGAAAGTAGTGTAAACCACAGTCCATAGAATGCGATTAATCCGTGACATCTGATAATTTCAGATCAAACATCTCAACGGTCAAACTTTAGGAATTTATATTATTAGTATAGGTGTGCTCGGCGTTGCTCGGGCAGGATAATCCCACCCATTTTAGAATCCTGTTATCCCTAATCACGTTGTTCCCATTATCTCGAATCCCGTTAACTATAACATAGTAAATGTATTCTAGATATAGAAGTCCCATCTAATAAACCCAACATTTCAAATAGAACTTGCATGTGACTCTTGTTTCAAATTATGAAAAACCACTTTCATTATTGTAAATGCACACCAATTTTAGTTTCAAATTTCAATTTTTGATCCAAACCTTCCAACGTGGTTTGCATCGCCTAACTACGATCATTATTCTCTCACTCAATGCAAAATTTCAGATCCAAGCTATTTTTCGACCAGGTAAGTATCGTGGATAGGCGACAAAAAAACACTAATTTAATATATTTGAGGTGCCAGTTTTCAAACACACACGCACATTTTGACAAATATGCATAAGATATACTGAGCAGCTGTGACAGTGTTATGGATAAACTCTAATATGGGTGGACCGTAACGCGTCAAGGGCTAAAACGAGCGGCTTCATTTTAACTATAAAACGAAGGCTGACGGCCCAATTCTCGCTTAATTTACACACTTAATTGAGCACCGAAGATGAGCACCTCACTTGAGCACCCAAGATGAGCACCTCACTTGAGCGCCCAAGATGAGCATCTCACTTCAGCACCCAAGATAAGCACCTCACTNAGCACCCAAGATAAGCACCTCACTTGAGCACCCAAGATGAGCACCTCACTTGAGCACCCAAGATGAGCACCTCACTTGAGCACCCAAGATGAGCACCTCACTTGAGCACCCAAGATGAGCACCTCACTTGAGCTCCCAAGCACTTCACATTTATTTTTATACCAGAATAATTCGAAATTCAGGCTACGAGACATTAAATGCTGTATGATTAAAGACAACACCCGCCTATACACTGAAAAATGGGATAAAATCCATCAGCCATATAAAGGCCTTCTTTGAAATAGCAATTGATTTTATTTTTTCGCGTTGGGGTACAGGTTTCATTAAAAAGTTCAAACTTTTTCGATCATTGTTTCTAACACTGGCCGATATAGCAGCATGTCTAAAAAATCAAATCTGCATGAGGCCGATAGAGGCATAGTAACTATTGTAGCTTTGCTGAAGGCGAAAAAGAGAAATTTTCGCACAATTTTGAAACAACGGAATCAATTTTGCTTACACAGAAACTTGTTGCGGCAGAGTGTATCGATTATACGACCTTTATCTGCAGGGTATAGACTCATTGCCGCACAGTCTGCAGGCCCTCCATTTGGGTCAAACTGACCCCAGTAAGGTGATGGGTGAATAGCTGGGATGGTGCCGCCCCCAAACCACTTCCAAGTTGTTGCATTCGGAGTTCGGTCCAGACCAATCCAAATTATCTTGATTTCGGCTGTAAAATTGACAATTGTTAAACTACGTATTTATTTATTCTAAGCAGTACCAAAATTAGCTTTTAACTTTCAGCAGAAGTGCGGTATTTCCCATATAAATCTACTCCACCGACTAGTTAATTTATTCTCAAATAGTCACCATGAATGATTTTTAAGATTTACCAATGGAATAGATCATGCTTGGTACTCGAGTAGATAATTATAATTATACAAAGCTTTGATTGGACAGCGGGTGCCATAAACTGTCGAATTCATGGTGATTGGCTTAATATTTTTTCCAGAGTTAGCGAGTTATGATGGACTCTGCTGGTAACGTGCAGAATCAAAGATTATAAGTAAATGCTTAGAGCAGCAAAGAGTGATTCCGCCTTGGGCCTGGTTTAAATAATGACATGCATGTGAAATTTGTTCATATTGTACATTTTGAAAAAATAAATTGAAAAATGTAAGCGCCACGCCTTTTCACTTCTTCGAGACTTCTCAATTGAATATTGTGCATATAAAATAAATATTTGAGATTTATTCGGCAAAAAGCTCGATATATTTTGAATATGATAGTGATTTAATTATGCATTCTCAGAAACGAAATAATTTCCAAAAATTCCCTTTTATGATCTTTCCCTTTTTTATGAACTCGGAGAAGTGATATTTATCAACATGCCCACAAAAGTGACTAAACATTTTGGGAGTTCAACGGGAAGAGATAGGAGGCACTAAAAATTTCAAATTTGTTGAAATAATTGTTGACTTGAACCATTAAGTTTGATAGGGCTGTTTTTAAGGCAGCTGAAAGACTCGTCTCATAATGTCGCAACACTGTTTTTTTCTGAATTGTTTTAGGTAGCTGATTATTTTCAAAGTTAAAACCACATTCGTAGTTCATTGTCGAAACTGAAATAGCCAATATCGACTTATAGGCTCACTGTACGCTCCTGACTTACATGGGGCATTCTTCAAGAGGTATTCCCGCATGGCGTCGAAGTCGATGAGGAAGTTGGCGGTGAAGAGTTGGGAGTCGAAGGGACAGGACGCGGCGGCGGCGGTGAAGTTCAGTGTGGCGGTGGAGACGTAAATGCAGCCCACGTTGTCCACGAGCGTGAAGTTGTCACGGCATCCTTGGCCTGGTGACGATGTTATCAGACGCACACAATTTTTGAGTTGCACATATGTTTGAGAATCTAACTAGGTTTGTGCAGAGTTGATGAACTGGGGCGAAATTGAATGAACTACCAACGAGCTCCCAATGTTTCAAAATAAGATTATTCGCTATCCGTGATTTGCAATCAAAGGCATACTGAGAAAAAGGGGAGAAAACGAGACTTGATCTAATTCAGGCAATTGGAAATTACCCAACTTGTACTAAAACATTACAATATTCTACATTAAGAACAAATCATTAAAATTTTATTAGAGACATCTTTACAGCATCATAACATTTTTTTCACATAGGTATACAATCATTATCATACAGTAACCATCCCAATTGAGATAAAAAAATGGTCCATGACTGAAAGAAGAATAAAATGATATTTTACTGCGTCGCTACCACCGCGCTCACATTAGTAATATTTTGACAAAATTTAATCGAATTAAGTTACGTTTGTAGAACACCCTGCTGTCAAGAGTAGAGGCCACAAGGTCGTTGGTGAATGCGATCTTTTGTTCGGTGAAGGAGCAGTGGAAGTGGCGTGGTGGCTGACGCCTGATGGCTACCGCGACGCATGAGTCCCGGCACAGCACGCGACACTCGCCTGAAAGGGATGACGTCCTCGCCAAATTTGTTTCATGAACAGTTCTTCATTTGGACGATGCATGAACGGGATCCCGCTTGATTTATAATAAGTAAATTCCAAAATATAACATCTGCCTCATCTAATTGGACTCACACGGACGCTCCACGACCGCGCTGCTCGAGATCGCAGTTGCGGCAATTTCCGCGCCCATGAAAGTCCTGAACGTATAAGCTGAGCCCTCCTCGATGCTGCAGCAGACGCACAGCAGCGCCCCGAGCGCCGCTAGCAGCCGCAAGTCCATCTTAATATTTGTTGAGCTCGACTTACTTACGAGTACCCATGAATACTCGTATAATAATCATCAAAAGTTTGTTCAGCGCCTCATTAAAGTTTGTAATATATATGAAAAACTGGAGGGTTTTAGAGATTTTTTGCCAGTGACATCGATCACTATTGTCATGTTAAATAAAAATATCTCACATGATGCATAAATAAATTATTTAATACATTTTATATTTCATAAGGATTCCATTCCATTCCATAACGAAGTGTTTGATGTTCACAGCAGGTATTCCAGAAACTTTGAAGAAAGCTTCCTATTTGTAATGCACCAAAAGAGAATTGCTACAATATTTATCACGTTGGATGACATGGGGTGTTTATAAGACTTTTTCCTATAAGAGTTTGCATCAATATTCTAAAATAAAATTTGGTTTTGACGTACATAAGAAACCAGTTTCATTATCATAAATGCAAGTATAAAAACAGTGTGAAATTTTTTTAGAAAAAGAAAATTTTTTGTTTCATTATTGAATTTTTCAATAGATTATATCTTGAAATAAGTAACTATAATCAATCACACTTGCCTGGAAAATGTGTGTGCAGTTAAAAACATTCTTAACACTGTCCCCCAAAAGAATGTACGGCTCACTGACGCTGTAAAGCCAGTCAACCTCTCCGTGATTACAATTCAGGTGGTGCATGTATCTTTGCGATAGATTCGCCTCAAATTTCGCTTAAGCTTTGTAAAAGAGCTAATCGACTTGTGTTTCTGATTGTACGTTCAGGGGTCCATTTTATACGAAAACTCGTTCCAATAAACGGCACTTATAATACTCGATCACATCCAATCGATTGGTTCAGAAATGAGGAGTGACGTAAGTCACAGAGGTGGAACTTCTTCAAATGATTTTACATTCTCCTGCATAGAATCCTAAACAAAGAAATTTTGCGAACCGAATTTTAATATTTTGCGAATCAAATAATCGCACTACGATTTATCACACTGCTCTTAATAATACTACTCTTTATTGCACTACTCATAATCATACCTAATCATACCATCTTTCTATTATGGATAAATATTGGACCACGTCTATATTAGAGCGGGTATCGCTCTCTAGCGAGGTGCAGTACGTAAGACCTTGCGTGACAGTAATCACGAGTATCGAGGAGGTGGGGATTGTCATAGTGCAACGATTGCTTAATTCTTGAAACCTCTACAAATTAAAAAAATCTGAGAAAATTCAAACAATGAATAAAGAAATCTGCAGAAATGTTGGTCAGAACAATCTTAAACCTAAATTATACAAAGTGGAATAAGGCAAGAATCGAGATGTGGAGAAGTCAATAGCTGATAAACAAATTGGAGCATCAATTGAAATCTGAATAAATTTGTTCTTGAATAAATAAAGGCATCGTTTCGATATAGTTTAAATATAGCAGTGCCGGCTTTGTTTTTTTCATTTTTACTTGAATAAACCACCATATATTTCCGTCTTGTTTCCGTCTTCAGCTCCCCACGCTATTAAACAAACTATTAACACGAGCAAGTCTTTATGCAACACGCAATTCTTTCTATAATTCGCAGACCATTAAACCCACAAATCGAGTAGCAGCTTTTTGTCCGCACTGCAACCTTGTTAGACAACAATTTGAAAGCATAGAAAATTAATATAAATAACTAAAAATTTTTCGCTGCAAACGTGTTGCAGATCAGCACCCATCTGTTCAAAATTCAGTGAAACGAAATGATTCAATAATAGAATAAATTTCACATTTCAGTTTGTAACCCAATTATTTTAATTTTTTATTTTATTTTAATCTAGTAAATGTTATTGGACACTAGTTTTTAACTAGGGTTTCTCTCAAATTTTGATATGTTCTAGATCACATGGCGTAAAATATATTTTTTAGCAAATTCTGAAATTGGCTATTCAATTAGCCAATTAATTGGCTCTATAACAAATTGCTAATTCTGATGATTGTTACCAATAACGCTAGAGTGAGGGATGAAGAAGGAAGGATTTAACTGATATTTAGACTTCAGTATATTTACAGGTATTATGCAGGGTGACCCAGTGGTAACATTGCAGAATATCCACAGCATGTTGCAGGCTTGAACTCGCAACTCACTGCTTCAAAATTTCTCTGCTTAACCGCCCGGCCTCCTCGCCGATTCTGACCTGAAACCGCTATAAAGTGATGGCAAATCCATATGAGAGGAGGATGAGATTTCGAGTAGATTTCAATCGGATCAGATCACAAGGTTTGATAAAAGTTAATTTAAGTGTTCGATCTTTGTTGAATGTTTTGATGATCTATCGCAAGGCTATAATTTTTTTAATGAGTTGAACCCCGCTCAAAAATAAGATTATACTGAATAAATGTATTTTAAAATGTTTCATGATGTTATTTGCCAAGTAAATTGCAAAATTCTGGTTGTCAGAGATGCTGATTTCAAATTTTGAGGGGTTTAAACTTATTTTTCAGTCCTCAAGAAGGTAACTGTCCCATAGGCCTAAGGCTGAGGTAGCAGGCCTCCAACGAGGACAAAACAGCAGCTGTTCCTATTGCTGCTTGACCATCATAAACGTTTTCATGGAAAAACAATGTTTATGTCTTTTTAAAAGCCAAAAATCGTGGTATTCTATCATGCATAGACAACACACGCTATTGTAAAATACGTCAAGGTATTTTGTCAGCATTCACAGCGATGTAAACACCTTAACTGGAGGATGAAGGGATAAAAACATTACAGGATTTGATGAATATTATTTAATTAAGGATTATATGTGTATTCAATATGTAGTGTGGCGGGCAATATGCCGGCGACTGGCTCTTGGTTAATTTAGTTGGTACGACGCGAACAAATTCGGCTTATAAATGCCCTAAATGAAAACAAATTAATAAGAAATTTCACAACAATGTCTAGAATTTTTGTGCCGTTAATGCGAGCATTTATTATGCGTACGAGAGCTGACCGATGATGGTAAACAGCTCTAATAATTTTATTTTTCTTAAATGTAAAGCAATCGTTGATGAAGATATGTTATGGGTGAACACGAGCTTATATAAGAATACTTGTGCAATCAAACGCTTCATGAATGAAATACTACCAATTTCAATACCATAACATGAAAGTTGAATTGACCGGATTTTATGGTTCTATTCAGCATTCATGCGATAGGTATAACACGCAAATATAATGCAATATAACAAAGATATATTGTGGCTGCTAATAAACTGAGACAAATAATTTCTTTGCGCTATTCTTATTCTTAAATGCTAAATATAATTTACAATGAATTAGTTTTCATTTTTAGTACGAACAACTTTTGCGAACATCACACCACAAATAAATTCAAGAAAAAGGATTTATTAGACTTAATAACAAATTGTCTCATGGGTAACTAACTGCATAATTATTAAATTGCATGACAAACTGTCTAATGGGGAACTCTTACATTTAAGATAATAATGGTTGACAAGCTTGTCGTGTCCGACCATGATAGAAAGGTTGTGCGTGCAGCGATAAAATCACACGTGTTATTCGACTCCAGCATCGCTACCAAAATTCGTAAGGAATTTCCTCAGGAAGCGGGCTTTGCGCTTAAATCATATGCGTCGCATTTCGGTCTCCAGCAACGCGCTTGAGGTTATTTGTATGACTTACGGCTTTCTTATTGTTGCGGATGTCTATACGCCTAAGAAGTTTGTTGTTAGAAAACTCGTGATAGAAGATGCAACAGGCACAAACACGCGCTGAGGAAGCAAAATTATATCATTTAATAAAAAATAGACATTTGGGAAAAATAATAACTAAAATACGATAAAATGATAGCTGCATGGCTTCAAAAGTTTATAAATGTAAATAGATTTTGGATGGTTGGTTTTGGATGGATTTCAGAATTTAGGAATTTAATGGTTTAGGATGGATGTTTTTTTTTTCAGAATTAAGAGAAATGCTCCGAAGATTCTCAGAATAGAGTTCTATTGTTATTTCACATGCTTCTCCTGTTCAGATAAGATAACAAGATAACAAGCTGACCTTTGATTTGAAGAATAGTATAAAAAATTTGGCAAGCATAGAAGTGTATAATATATAGGGCTTTGTAAAAATAAGTTTTAGTTGGAATATTTCTCGAGTTCAAGCCCTGCCTTGGGATGATGTAGATTGTCCAATGTGTATTTAACGAGCTCATCTACTTCATGAAAAATGCGTGGAGTTTAAAATTTACTATGTGTGACTCAGAACAATTTAATAAGCTACTATTTATTCAAGAGAAAAGTTGTCTGGAAGTTGATAAGGAAGAAAATATGAATAAATATCTTTATCTGAATAAATATCTTTATCTGAAGATGTTTAATTCATAGGAAAGCCATGAATTGTAAATTCCGAAATAGCTCAAGACTCGCAGATGGCGCAAGACTCATGCATTATGGGGAATGGTTCATAAGCAAACACCATTCATGACTAACCATGCCTGTCACTCACACCCACCTGCAGCCGCTACCTGAAATAACTTGACTTGTTATCGCAATTTATCTCGCAAAGTATACATTATTCTATAAGAAGTACTTCTATTTTACTTCGTGTGCTTGGGCCTGATCAAATTTGGGAATTGTGGTTGTGCGTTCATGTTTCCATTCAATCTAAAATATATAATAAATTCTACATAATCCCTTTAAAAATGCGTAGTTACGCTATAGTTAGCACACGAGAAAAAAAAATATTTTAAATCTTTTGAACTCCAACCAATGAGAAGCATTGAATAAATTGTTTTTACCAATTCCTCCTCGAATTGAAATGTCACCATAGTTTAAAATCCTTTATTATTTATTTAAGTTATTCGGAATGATTCAAAATTCAATAGCATCCAATAATTCAGTATTATTACAACGGCCATCGCAATTTATTTCGACGGCTACTCGATTAAAATTCTAGTCTTATTAATTCATTCTTCTCAGCTATAATTAGTTGGAGTTCATTACAGTGACCAATAAGAAACTATCCGTTAC